ATGCACAGGTCAGGCGACTGACGTAATGAATCGGATGCCAAGCGGCAGAGAAAACCGCTCTGGATCTCTCCTGGACTTCCCAGCCTCTTGCTCACCTCGAAGGACATCAAGAAGGAGACCCCAGTTTGGGGCCACGTGTGCATTTCTGGCACATTCAGCCCACAAACACATGCACACAAGATGCCCCATTTGAACGGCTTGCTACCACTAGATTACTACTGGAGCCTCAGGATGCAGCGGTTAAAGTGCAGTCCTGCAGCCAAAACTCTGCTCACGACCTTGGTGCAATTCCAAGTAGCTGTCTCAAGGTTCACTCAGCCTTTCATCCTTCCGAGGTTGGTAAATTGAGTCTTCAGCTCACTGGGGGTGGGGGACAGCAATGCCTCGCTTGCATAATCAAATTGAAAACCACCTAACGTGTGTTTTAAGCACTATGGGGCAATATATCGGTAGCACCCTTTTACAGGAATCTGGAACAAGGAAGAGCAAAGAACAGCAGAGGCCAAGCGTGCCTTTCCTTTCCGGACCCCTCTGCAGATGGGATTGGGTTGATTCACTTGTTTTGCTTCTTCGGAAACCATGAAAAAGTTAAAAACACATAACTTTGAAACACCAGTTCCTGGTGCATTTTGATGCCAGCTTGAGCATGCTCCCAGATCCTGGACAGTGGCATGTCAAAGGGAGGGCCTTACAGAGCCAGATCTAAGGGCAGGAGCTGAAGCTTCTTTTCAACACAACCTTTATTCATTAAACCAAGCAAACTATTCTAATTACTGAAGCCCCCACTTTGATCCACCTAAGTCAGCCTGACTCCGGCCAGCCTCAATGTGCAAAGACAAGGAGGAGTGGTTGCAAGGTACCTTCCATTGAGTCTAACTGTCAGCAGAAAGGCAGCATAGAAATGGAACCAACCAACCAACCAATTGATCAACCTTCTTGGCACTGCCCTCTGATTTGGGAGGGTGATGCCAATTGCTGGATGGACTACGACTCCGTTTCTACGGGCCAGAGACAACTGAACTCTCTCTACCTCCTCCCCCGTTGCACACGCTGGGGGATAGGTGCTGGTGGAGCAGAATCAGCAGCTCCTCTGCGCTATGGCACCGCTCCGCCAGCTGAAACCCAAGCCTTCCAGGGTCTCCTCAGACCACTGAGTCTGGGGCCATGCCTACGCCTTCCCCCAGGTCTCCCTTTTATCATCCTCTCCCATGCCCTTCTGCTCCTCGACTGTCTATGGCCATTGGTCCTCCCCTCTTTCTGCTCTTTCCCTTCCCTGATGCCGAAGGCCCCGGTGTTGGCCCAGCACGGCGACCCCCTTGGATCTCTTCTTCACACTGTTGCAGTACCAACGCTCTGCTGTTCTGTCCAGTGATCAGCAGCAGAAGCCACGGAGAAAGGCATCGTGTAGAGTCAAAGCAGAGGAAGAGGGACAGGGCACCCGGAAGGGGCGAGCTTGAGAAGGCCTGGGAATAGAAGCTGCATTCACCACTTTTCTCATCCTTGATGAAAGACAATGGTGTCATACCTCAAGGCAGATATTCCCTTGAGAAAGCAGCTAACGGCTGCAAGATTTTTTGATGATTTCATTCACACTCTCATCTTCCAGATCACCATGTACAGGTGCGAAAGCCAGACAGTAAAGAAAGATGAACCAAAAGAACTGATTCATTTCAAATATAGGGCTGGAGGAGAACTCTGTGGATACCCTCGATGGTCAGAAAGACACACAAGTTCTAGAGCAAATCAAGCCTGAACTATCTCTGGAGGCAAAAATGTTGAAGCTGAGGCCGTCCTCCTTTGGGCCCATCCTGAGAAGGCAAACGGTTCTCTGGAAAAGACAATCATGCTGGAAAAAGTGGAAGGCAGCAGGAAAAGAGGAACAGCAAATCAGGGATGGACTGAGTCCCTGAAGGAAGCCGCAAGCTTGACATTTGCAACAGTTGAGCAGGGCTGTGGAGGACAGCCTCAACATTATGGCAATGGCCCATTCCTACGGTCACCAGAAGTCAGAGGTAAGTTGTGGCACGTAACACCACCACGGGACTGACTCCCTAAAGGAAGCCGCAAACTTGACATTTGCAAGAGTTAATAAGCAGGGCTGTGGAGGACAGCCTCAGCATTATGGCAACTGCCCACTCCTAAGGTCACCAGAAGTCGGAGGCAAGATGACAGCACGTAACATCACCACGAGCAAACAGACCAATTTTTTGTTGGTAGCAGCAGCATTAGCAGAAGATAAAAAACAAACTAATGGTTTTCTAGTGCAAAACCTTGTACTTTGCACTAGAAAACCTTGCATTTTGCACAAACGACAAGATTTTTGTGCAAAAACAAGCTTTTTTTCTTTTCTTTTCTTTTTTTTTGCAATAAGGGCCGAGATATGCAGGAGCAAAACTTTTGAGAGGTTTTTTTCCTCCCCTCTCATTGGCAAGAGCAAAGTCAGCCAAGATTTATATACCTAGTTTTCAGCTCCTTAAAGGACTCCTTAAAGACATCCGTAGATTTTATTTTATTTTTAAGGACCACAGTGTTTTGTCATCAGCTACATTAACTGAAGACGAACAACTAGAAGTTGTTTCTGATTGAATGGATGGATGGATGGATGGATGGATGGATGGATAGATAGATAGATAGATAGATAGATAGATAGATAGATAGATAGATAGATAGATAGATAGATAGATAGACAGACAGACAGACAGACAGATCCATCAATCCATTGATTCACACAGACAGACAGACAGAGACAGACAGACAGATGCTCGCACACACACTCTCTCTCTTCAGTTCTCCTGTCCATACAAAAGTTCATTGCACCAGACAGATAGACAGATAGATTAGACAGATAGATTAGACAGATAGATTAGACAGACAGACAGACACAGACAGACGCGCGCGCACACTCTCTCTTCAGTTCTCCTGTCCATACAAGAGTTCATTGCATGATCAGTTGTGCTTTTCTGGAGGATGTGCACAAGAGGATGTTCACTTCCCGGGGGTGTCCGGGGAAGTCCCACTGTTGTTGTGTTTTTTTGCACCTCTCTCTTTGGCTCATGCAGCATTCTTGCTGGAGATCATACAAAAGTTCATTGCACGATCAGTTGTGCTTTTCTGGAGGATGTGCACAAGAACACTGGTTCTTAACCTTGGGTTACTCAGGAGTTTTGGACTGCAACTCCCAGAAGCCTTCACCACACGCTGTGCTGACTGGGGTTTCTGGGAGTTGCAGTTCAAAAGCATCTGAGTAACAAAGGTTAAGAACCACTGCACAAGAGGATGTTCACTGCCCGGGGGTGTCCAGGGAAGTCCCACTGTTGTGTTTTTTTGCACCTCTGTCTTTGGCTCACGCAGCATTCTTGCTGGAGATCCACGGAGTACAGTTCCCGCTGAGTGTCAGACGCCACCATTTCCAGCAGAAAGCTTACAAGGATGCTATGAGGAGAGGCATTGCCTCTTCCCTCACCCACAAAGGGAAATGCATCTTCTACGAGAGCGTTTGCTACCAGGAATGCATTATCCCAAAACAGAGAAACACCACTATGGGGCCTTGGAGGCTGCTGGGGAATTCTGCATATCTTTTAAAGGTACACATCGGTTTGCTAACCTTCGTGCAACTAATCATTAATTTAACAAGCCCAAGAAAAGCATCCCTTCCCAAAAAGTAAACTCAGCTGGGGGAAGGGGATGAAAGAAGGTGAATCCAGACACACAAATGGGGTACCCCTCTGAAGCAAAGGCCGTCCACAGAAAGTGGACAGGACCCACCGATTCCAGCCCTGGCTCCTGCCGGAACTGAGTGAAAGAAAGCAACGGGAGCAGCTAAATGGAGTCAAACAGATTGCCTTTATTTACTGTTTGAGTAGATTTGGACCGTTAAACTGGGGGGGATGGGGGGCAATAGAGGGAAACAGTGTTTACGACTAGGGTGGGCCACCTACAGAGCTCTGAGGCCACCCTCACCTGCCCCAGACCTTGGCAGGCAGGGTGCACCCACCCCCATACCCTGTCCAGCCCAAATACATACCGTATACATACCTATCTACCTACAAACATACGTACAGATTAATGGCTTTTTTAATGAATAGGAAAAGTCCCCTCATGCCCTCTAGTGGCCAGAAAAAATATTTTTTAAAAATTACAAATATTGGGGGGGGGGTGAGGAAAGGCGCAGGAGTGCTCCTCCCCAACAGGGCAAAAGGGTCTCCTACACCCACCAGGGATCTCTTCTAAGCAAACACTATATTTTAAAAAGGTCCAGAGTGGGAGGCAGGGGATGATGAGCAGGGCTGCATCCTGCCGTCAGGCTGTGCACAGAGGCCCACCCCGACCCGTGGCCAAAATGGCCAAGCCCTCTTCCCGCAGAGCATCTGCTTGACTCCAAGGGGTGGAAGGCCGCCTTCCACGGAGAGGCACCTCCTTTTGCTCACGTTGGCCTTTCTTGTGAACCAGCAACACCACGCGAAGGGAGACGGAGAGAGGAAAGAGTGCGAGGGATCCAAGAACGACCTTCTCCGTCACAAAAGCACCAAGAACAGCAGGCAGGAAATGCCAGATCCTAACCCTATTTGAAGGTCCGCGGAGGGGGGGGGATAAACAAGGCCGTCTGACTTTTAATCAGGAGACCTGCCGGCACCCTCTCGTCGTGAGTGAGTGACCAAGGCGACCTCTCCACTGGCCTTGGTGGGAAGCATACAAGTCAACATAATCCAGGCAAAGAGGATGACTTTTCAGCACAGGATAAGGCACAGGTCATGAAATAAGACAGGAGAACCCTGGGATCAGACCAGCCATGCTCCAGTTCCCGTCTGGCCACCGCACCACAGCTGTTCTTTGGCCGGCACCTTCAGCCAATCTCCTGGCCTCCTTCCAAAGGATCTTCATAACATGAGACTAGTGTCACGGGCCACAGAGATCTTCAACTCAACCGGGATGGAGTGGAGCAGAGGCAATCCGCCCATAAACCGACTGTGGAAACAACCCTGCCGTGGTCGTTACCTTGGGAGGCCACAGGAGAACCGGGGGGTCCACCAAGATCCCATAGCCTCCCTCCTTGATGGCGGTTCGTCTCAAGGCCGCGAGCTCCCACGGCTGGGAAGGCAACCGTTGAAAAGAAGTGGTCCGTCCGTGGAAGGGCTCAACGTGGGCACCGGGCCAGGAGTCATTCCCCTGCCCCAGTTTCCATTTATTGAAGCAAGGGGGCTTGTGCAGGGCATCAGAGGAGACCAGAAACACAACAGGCTCCACAGAAGCCGCCCTACGAAGCATCCCTCGTTTTCAGCCGACAGTGTTCCTCAGGCAGGTTCCTCAGTCGCTCGGCAGCCTGCGGAGAGAAGAGCAGGATGGACGGATGGGCACCTCAATTGAAAGGAGAAGCGGGGGGGGGGACCCAGCAAGGCCACAAGTGAATTTCAGCAAAGCCTGAAGAAAAGGAGCCTCAGGGCAAGTCTGCTCCTCAAACCCCCTTCCCCCTCTTCCCTTTATCATTTCAACGAAAGCTTTGCCCTCGTTTTGTGGCATCTCACGAACACCACGCTTTTGGAGTGACCGTCGGCAAATCCCTTCTGGGAACATCACCGGCAGCACAAACGTTCACGGATCACTGTGTTAAACACAGGTGCCAAGGAAGGCCACAGAACAAGGCCTTGGAAGATCTGGACTGGGACACAGACCACCTTCCTTCCCACCACCCACTCCCAGACTGGTGGCCCTCCAGAGCCGGGAATGAGACCCTGCCCTCCCTCCCTTCCTTCAGGGACCCTTACAGACTGGCCTGTGGGAGGGAAGGAAGGAGCGAGTTGCTGATGGATGGATGGATGGATGGATGGATGGATGGATGGATGGATGGATGGATGGATGGATGGATGGATGGATGGATGGAAGGAAGGAAGGAAGTAAGGAAGGAAGGAAGGAAGGAAGGAAGGAAGGAAGGAAGGAAGGAAGGAAGGAAGGAAGGAAAGGGTCTAATTCCCGGCTCTGGAGGGCCACCGGTCTGGGAGTTTCCTCCAGGGATCCCGGCCCCACCAGCTCTGCTCACCTGCTCTGGAGTCAAGTCCCTCTGGGCCTGAGCCAGCATTTCGTACCCGACCATGAATTTGCGCACCGTGGCCGAGCGCAGCAACGGAGGGTAGTAATGGGCGTGCAGCTGCCAGTGGCGGCAGTCTGCACCCAGGAACGACCCCGTAGGTGCCCCTGTCAGAGAAAAGGGGAAAGTAATGAGACAGGGAGAGGCCACTGAGGTGAAGCAGGGCCAGAATGAGAAGCTGGGGCCTCACCGTGGAGGCGAAAGCAAGGAAGATTTCCATGCAGTGAGAAGGCTTAGGAGAGGGATCTTGGCAAAAACACACACGGCCAAACAAGAAATGCAAAAGGGAAACGTGGAGGACAGGGTTCTCAAACAGCCTCGGCAGGATTGCTTTTTTCAAGGTTCAGCTCAGAGGGGCTTGCAAAACAAAGACAAGCTGAGGAGGAGGAGGCAGTTCCTTGACCTCCTTGAATAAAGCCAGACCGAGAGAGACGTTAGGAAAGGGGCACAGAGAGCTGGAGGTCCCTCCCAGGACCTGCTGCTGAAAAATGCAAGGCAACTGACTGGCATCAAGAGCGGAGAAATCGCCCTCTCCTCCAAGCCAGAATGATGGAGCTGGAAGGGCCGTCAAATCCAACCTCTTGCTCAAGGCAGGAATCTCAGTCAAAGCAGATCGGCCAGAGGGTTCTCTGAGGTTCTCTTGAGCGCCTCTCCACTGTTGGGAGAGCTCACCAACTTCCCGAGGTCATGGGTTCCGCTGTCGTACTGCTCTACCAGTTAAGAAGTTTTCCATAGAAGCTGAAGGTTATAAAAAACGGCTCCCAGCATTGTCCCTGAGTTTCCCAGGGGCACCTAGCAGACCACTAGCATGAGACAGATCTTTTGTCCAAACCAACTTGAAGGCTTTTCCTTACCGAAAATTTCAGCAGCAAGAACCCAGCATGCAAAATCCCTTTAGGGGGAATGCTTTTTCTTCTAAAATCTGTGACCTGGGTCCCTGGAATGATTGGGCTCCCAAACACAGAAGTGACCACGGAGTCATCCTACGGAACCTACGGAGGAGGGGGTGGGGAATCTGCCGACCGGACACAGCGCAGCTAGGATGATGGGAGCCCAGCAGCATCGGGTGGGCCGCCTGCTCCTCCGCCTCTACACGAAGGCTTGAAAGTAAAAGAAACGGGGGGGGGAATGGAAGGGGGGGCCAGGAAAGCAGCCCCTGCATGGCCAGTGATGTCAAAGGGCCGTCCAGAGGGACAGAGGCCAGTTCCTCCTCCCCGTGGCTTACCGTGCCATCCCATGGAGTAAGGGAAGGAGATCTGGAAGAGATTGTCATACTTTGTGAGAAGCCTCTTCATGACGGAAGCCAAGCCTGTGGGGATATGAGAGAGGATTCAGAGAGGTCGGCCGGCTTCAACTACATCATTCATAGGAAACCTGCACCTCTTCACCCAGGGAAGGTTTCGCCTACGGAATGGGCTGACGCTGGACAGACGGGAGGAAGAGGAGGAGGTTGCCGATGGCTACTGTTGTTGTTGTTTAGTCGTTTAGTCGTGTCCGACTCTTCGTGACCCCATGGACCAGAGCATGCCAGGCCCTCCTGTCTTCCACTGCCTCCCGGAGACTGCCTCCCGATGGCTACTAGTCGTGACCAAAAAAGGCTCCACGCAGCTCTCAGGATCACCCGCGCCAGAGGGGGGGTCATCCTCAGTCTCACTACGGCAGGCATTGCTGAGGCCCTCGTGACTGACGTGTGGGCTTCCCTTGGGGGGGGGAAGGGGAGGGTCACTGCTTGGCCTCTGCGGTGTGCTGCAGCCCTCTCTGCAACACAGAAGGGTGTTCCTTTCTGGACTTTGTCCTGCCCCCTTGTGTGCTATATATAGCGTCCCCTTGTATCCACAGTTTCAGGCATCCACAGTAGATCACGGGACGAGTCCCCCATGGAGACAGGGGTCCTACTGCCCAGGCTCCCTCCCTCTCCTTACCATGGGAACAAAAAAGCTCCTCTCCCACTTTTCTCCCCAAACCAGTAGGGCTAAGCCACTGTCAAGCCGAGATACAAAGGCGGGGAAAGGATGCCGTGGCTTCCCAACAGGGTAGCTCAGCCTATGCATTCTCTACCCTTGGCAGCCACCTCTCTCTCTCTCTCCAAAAACTCTGTGGCCCAGCAAACAAGCCAGAGCGGAAGGGACGTGTCTTCACAAGGGGAGCACCTACTGTCTCTCTCATGATGCTGAAGGTCCTGGAGGCGGCAGACGTGTCGCCGAGGCAACAAGAGCGTCTGGAAGGGCCAGACGGCCCAGTAAGGGACCACCACCAGCCAGTCCTCATTCTCAACCACAATCAGCTCCTGCAAGCACTCACAACACGGATCAGCCACGTCGACGCACCG